CCATTTTTTTTTTGAGAAAGAAAATCATAAAAAATTTTTTTACGACATTGTAGGTACGTTGATTAAAAAGTAAATTTCTAGGATGTTTTTTTACTTTTTAATGTTGATCAAATGATTTCAGGTATTTTTCATTTTAAAAATGTTAGGACGATGATTTAAAGAGATGAAGGAAATGAGGTAGATTATAAGAAAGTAAAAGAAAATTTGAGAAGAAAATATACGGAGAATTTTAAGTACGTGAGAAATTTAAAGTTTAAATTAAATACGAAATGCTCTAAAGAATGTAAAAGAATTTCGAAATATTTAAGATAACAAAAAAAATGTTAGAAGAATGGAAAGAATTCGGATGATTTGAATTAAAAAGAAAGGTGTGTAACAAAAATTTTATTTTAACACATTTTTTTTCGGATTGAAGAATAGATAGAAAATCAAAATTGTAATAATATTTTTTTTTATTGAAATTCTTACAAAAAGGATATTTGTGCTCTCAATATACCTGTATAAATGAGTATAAAGAACTGAAACTTAAATCTCACCTCTTATTTTAAAGACAAAGTTTTCAGATTTCTGAAGCTTAGAATCTTTTCTCAGAATAAATTTTTTCCTCAGATGTGGAACTTTGAAGTCATGTCTAACGAGGTAAAATCTAGGATTCAAAGTGAAAAATGTGCAACTCCTCCCGCGTTGTTTTCTGTTGCATGCGACAAGTTGTTCAATAAATTATAAATTATCTTTGTTTAATTCGAAAAAAAATTGATGTCCTCTACTGAAGTTCTAAACTTAAATGTTAAGGAAAATTATAAATCAAAATTTATTAACTCTGAATTTCTTAAAGAGCATAAAACGATTACCAGAATATCAAATTAAATTTTAAACTCTTGAATAACTTTATTGCTCTAAATTAAATAAGATTTTCCCCTCATTGTGGTGTAAACATACATACAACATACATACTTGATATTTTCTGAATAAATGTTGAATAAAATTTAAGGAAAAATGTACAAAATTATTTTGACTCCAAAGTGTAGCGGTTTACTATTCTACAAGCACTTGTTGTTAAACTCATTTTTTTTTTATAAACAAGTTACCAAACTAGATTGTTGCAATATTATACACTGTTCGTTACATCTTTAAAGATTAATAACTAAGATATTATAATATCTTTGCAAGCATAGCATTATGTTGAAGGGCTATTATATTAATCTAGAATTTTTTACAATGCTGATATCACAGAATTCTTTATTAAAATTGTGTACAGTAAACGAAAAATTTAAGAAAAAAAATTCTTCTTTAAACCTTATCTATGAACAGAAAATTTTAATAGTGAAAATCATTTTTAGAAACAAAAGTAGGTACGCTCCCTCAGACCTTTAAAAATTATAATACATATAGATGTACATTGTAAGTGGGTGGTGCGCTCGTATGTGAGTGGTTCATATATAGAAGGAATCAACTGAATGACTATAACCTCATTAAGGATTTAAAAATTTTAAAATTTTACTTTAAACCTTTTCAAGCTGTTCGCATATTGCGACATATACATGTAAACTTATGTATGAGTATAAAAAATTTTTTAAAAGGATTTTTGTTATTTTTATATAGTCATAAACGTTTATTCTAAAATTCATTCCAGAATTGAATTTTTCACTTTAAAAAATTATGATTTGCTCCCTATTGCTAGTGAAAGTGAGAAATTTTTATCATTATTTCGCTAGCATAGCATTAGCATATAAACGGGAGAGAAAATCTCTTTCGTTTTGTTTTTTAATTTTCAACTCCGTCTGACTTTTATTCTTTTAAAAATACCATTTTTAATTCTCCTTCCCTACAATGTTGTATGAAGATGTAGAGATTCGTACTTGAAAGAAATATTGTGTGTAATTAAATTAAATTATTTAAGTGAGTTATTTAAATTGTGAAAATAAAGGTTATTCTGTTTTTTAATAAAATAATAAAATTAACTTATTTGTTATTAAAGACCCTCAAAAGAACAGAAAAAATTTAAAATTACATTAGGTCAGTTATAATGCTGCCTGTTTTTATAGCAATAATAATGAGAGAATCAATTTTAATTAGAAAAAAATTATTAGGTTTTTAAAAATGAAAAGATTAACCTTGTAATAATTTTAGGAATAAAATCACTTACACTTTTGGACTAGGTTTTATTTGCGATAATGGTCTGTACAGTATATAGTCTTTGGTAGCGTACAGTTGTGGTATATTTTGGAAATTTGAAAATATAAAGCTTTTAAATTGGTGTGATGGAGAGAAATTGTGTTGCAAAACGGTTGTCTCATGTACAACAACTAATAGTTTTATCTATAACTTCACAACATAGTTAAAATAATGGTAAAATTTGATTAAAAAGAATCACATTTTTTTAAAATAATGAAGCTTGAATATAGGTCGGACCATTAAATTTGTTAAATTACAAGAAATTCTACTCTTTAAAATTTAAACTTAAAATTTATCTTTAAATTTTTATGAAAATTTAGAAATGTATTTTGAAACTTTTGAAGATAAATTCATGTATACATACATACGAGTACGTATAGCTAAAGTATATCATGACTAAGTATTTTATTATTACAAGAAAAAAAAACTTTTCAATATAATTGCAATGTTAAACAAAAAATTTCCATTACATTACAAGATTCTCATATAATTCGGGTATTATATATAATATATTAAGCATTACATACATACATTATGTTCATACATTCATATAAATGTTTGGTTTGTTTAAGGCTATAACAATAATTTTATATATTATATTTTTTGAGGCAATTCAATATTGGGTCATACCATTTATTATTGAATACATTAATATTCCTTTTTTTCTATTTTTTGAAAAATAGGACCTCAGTATATAATATTGAAGAATTTATTATGAAAATAATAAATAAATATGAATAAATGAATGAATAAAATCTAAAGTGCCTTATAATAAATATAATTGAAAATATTGAATCAATATTATAACAAAGCAAGTATGTATATATAAAATGGTAGTACAGTTTGTGGCACAATAATAAATTTAGAATTATTTTGATATTGTAAGGATCATGATTTATTAGTTTAATAATATAAAATTGATTTTCTACAATCTATATAGCTATATTTTCGAGAATTGTCTAAATTTAAACTTAAAAGTGTTTAGTGATTTATTCGGATTTCTTCTATTTAATAATTAGGTTTTGGGCTTATTTTAGGTTTAGGATTTTATTCTTTCGTATTAAATTTATTGCTTTGGATTGTAAATTTTGGACGCATTTAATTCAAGAGTAAATCTTATAATTTTACCTCGATTCAATATTGAATCAATAACATTTTTTCAAAATTTTAGTTAATTTTGTTCTATTCTAAAAATAGGACATTTTTTACATTTTGAAAAAAAAAAACAATTTTAATTGGCTAAAATTTTTAAGTTTGAAATCAATACGGTGTAATCCTATACAAGTGGTTTGGTATGAAACTTTTACTATTTTTATCATAAAACTCGATTGAGCAAGAAAATCCCTAAAAATAACAAATCTAAAATTCTGCTTAATATTCAAGAAAAAATTCAATGCATTTGAGCATTTGTAATTCTCATTATAAATCTTCTGTATCTACCTATATTATTATAAGCTTGTCTAAATATTAGTGTACATATACATGTATATAATAATTATTTACATACTTACATTTATAAAAATAATAAATATATAATAACAAAAGAACTTTTTTCTTTCTTTACAGAATTCCTAGGAGAGGCAAGAGAAATGTAAGAAAAAAGCAAAAAGAAAATTCAAGTAGAAATAAAAATCAATCAAAACTTTTTAATAAAAGGAAAAAAAAGTTCCTCTTCTTTTCAATTTCTGCCTAAACTTCACTTCATCTTTTGCTTAAGAAACGATAATATTACAATAAAAGAGAGCAAGAAGAAAGAACACCGATTCTCCAATAATAAGGAATTATGTAGCAAGAGTAAAAATTGTAAAATAAATAGCATTGCCCTTCAAAATTATTTTATTCTCATACTATACAAAATAACTACAGTAGAAATGGTACAGAAGGGATATTTTAAATGAAAAGAATGAAGATGATGTTATATAAACTGGAGAACACAAATATTATGATAAATAATTTGTACTCACTAGTATCAGTGAATATTTAAGAAAGTTTTACATTTTTTCCTTTTTAAAATCTATCGGAAAAAATTCCATTTTATAAGTTTTAAAACTTACAAAAATTTCAAATTAAAATGAGCTGCAAGAAATGCACTCCTATTAAAATTATAACAACAGTTTTACATTAAAGTGAAGGAAAAGAAGGAGGAAAGAAAAACTTAAATATTTAATTTTGAAAGAAATAAAATGTTGAAATGTTTAAAGAATTTCAATGATAAAATTTATAATAAAAATAAAAATCATAGAATAAATAATAGCAGTAACAATAATAATAATAATTATAAAAAATTCTTAATAGCATCTGCATTAATATTTTATGACTGTCACCATCGCATTCATCACCATCACCATTATCCAATATTAAAATTCTATAGCATTATTGTTTTACTAAGAACAGCTTCTAACATAAGATTCAATGGAAATTTAAAATCTTTAGAAAATTTTATATTAAAATCAACAATAATTTTATTGCTTAAAACATTTTATGAAACACAAGCAATACTTTATAAATCTAGAAAAGTTTTTGACACTGCAGTTGCTTATTATACAAATGAAATAAAATCGAAATTAAAAATTATAACAGTAAGAATAATAATGTTTGAGAAAATTTTTAATAATTCAAAATGGTTGCGAAATATAAGTTGTCATAATATGACAATTGTATGACAAATAAAGAATGATCTTTAAAAATATTATATGGACACTTTACTTAAAAATAAGTGAAGTGACATAAAAAATAAAGCTACAAATTTTTAATTAGAATAAAAAGTGAAGATTGAATACAAAAATCAACAAAACACAAACATATTATATAAAATTTGAAAAGTATATTATGTCATCGAATTTTGTAACTGAAATCCTTCAAACAAGTATAACACCAACATCACCAATACGAATAACAAAAGCAACAGCAAAAACATCATCAATGATTGGAAATTTTAATAATAGTTTATTAAATACGACAACAGCAGCAGTAGCTACAACAACAAAAACCGCAACAACAACAGTAAGAGCAATAACAACAACTACAAAAGCAACATTAAAATCATTTACAACAAAATTAGCTGCAGCAGCAACATTTACAACAACAAGAACAATTGCTTCAGCAACAACAAATACAACATCATCAATAGGATCATCAACAGTTACAGCAACAACATCATCTTTATCATCACCGTTATCATTGTCTTCGTCGTCTATTTCATCACCATTATCATCATCTTTGTCAACATTAACAATATCTTCCACAACGTCATCACCATCTTCAATATCATCAGTGACAACATCATCAATTAGTGATAATAATTTTTTTATTAACAATAATTATAATTTATATAATAATATTAGTGTAAATAATACAAACGATATGATTAACGGTTCAAGACAATTATTTGCAACTGCTACAGCAACACAAACAACAACAGCAACAGCATTAAGTGCAGCAAATACAATAACAGAAATAACTTCATTAGATGAACATACACCAGCGCCAAATTGGAGTGATGTAACTGTATTAACTATTAAAGGTGTTATTTTTTGTACAATTATTATTGCAGCTGTATTAGGGAATGCACTCGTTATAATATCTGTACAACGTAATCGTAAGCTAAGGTAAGTCCGAAGAAATATTTTAAAAATATTATAAAATTTTATTTTGAAAAAATATTTTATTACTTCCTGTTCAAAATGTTTGCATAAAAAGCTAGTTACTCGTAATAATAACTAATAAGGAACAATTCTGAGTAATAACCAGTCCCTTCGGTATTGGTTTCATTTATGCTTGACTATATCCACACGTATATGTACGAGCACCTTTTTATTTTCAATTGAAAATTTTGGAAATTTTATTTTTGCATTACAAGTAAAAATTTTATTAAATTTTGACCTAAAACTTCTACTGACTTTTTGGAAAATGGAAGTTCAATTGAATTTTCGGAATAAAATAATATTCACCTCATATCTGAAGTTAGTAATCTAATCTCTTGAGATGTTTTCACTATGAAAATTTTATTAAATTAAACTAATAGAAATTTTTTAAATTGAAATTTTCCCAAAAACTTTTCTAGTTTTTTTAATTTCAAAAATATTAGAAATAAAATATTTTTGTTGGAAACTGAACAAAGTTCAAAATATTACTTTTGGATTTTAGGAGTTTTTTTGTTGAAATGAACTGAAATTATTGTGTCTGTTGAAGCGTTACAAGATTATAGTTGGAATTTCTTTAAAATTTCAAAGTTCAAAAACTAAATATTTGTTTAATAGGAAGAAGAAATAATAAATTATGTTATCAGAAAGTTAACAATAAAGTTTATTTTTACATTTTGAAAAGTTTTCGGAAGATTTAAGCAAATTAAGAGAAAAAACATAATGAACTCGTTCATAATTTGTAAAATTTTTCGAAAATTTTGTGTTCTATACATAATTATAATACGTAAACGTTTATAGTGTCAGAAAATATACGCTAATTGCCATTCTAGTGAATGCGAATACGATTACCATATAGTTGGTAACGGATAAAAATTTTCTGATTCACTAAAGTTAGCTTTAAATATAAGTGATGTCAAGATTGCCGGAGTTTCAATTCATTATTCGTTTCTATTAAAAATGCTCCTTCAGTTTCAAAACTAATCGTTTTCGATGTCAACCTCAAATGCTATTTCCATGTGGCATATCTAAACCTTTTTTCCCCAAATATCTAAAAATAAACGCTGCAATTGTATTAAGTAAGCACCAAATATTAATAGCACTCAAGTTATTTTTGTGAATTTTAAATGAAAATTTTTTAATTCTATAATAATCCTCAAAACGAGAACAATGATTTTTATTTTTAACCGATAGAAATGAAATTAATGAATTTATTCCATTAATTTTGTCTACAATGCATTCATTAGGAAATAATTTTTAACACAAAGCAATTTCAGTTAAATAAATTAAGGTGAATTTCCTGTGAACTTTAATTTTCATTATAATTAGGTTAATTATTGTTGGAAGGATGAATGGATGATTCATACTGAAATAATGATTTTTGACACAGAAAATATTTTAAATAAACAAACCATCAATTTATTATTCGACCACATCACTAAGAGAAATTGAATTGTGGTAAAAACTTTTACTAAAATCAACTGCACTTAATATAGATTAATTATTTTGATGGATTTGGGGCTTTTTTTTCCTTTGTGTATATGTTTACGTGTATGTTGGTATTAATAGAGAGCATTTATTCCATAACATTGTAATTATTTACGGTTTTATGAATACAACAGCATAGATATTAAGCTAAATAGTATTAGTAGTTTAAATATAATTAGAATTTTGTTGCAGAGACTTATAGTGTTAAGAATGTTGATGATATAGAGAGACTTTTGCTATGATAATTCTCGTGACACTATAATTGCAATAACAAACTAATATTTCGGGTGACTTTTATCGCAATCTTCTTTATAGAGTTAATAATAATTTTAAAAGTGCTTAATAGCTTATATTAAATAATTTATCTCTCTCAAACAGTTTAGACCTCATTTTATACTATTCTTTTTAAAAATCTTAAGGCTTTTAAGTCTTGAGACTGACGTTTGTATATAAAACTCCTAATTGTATATGAATAAAATTTTGTCTAATATACGAAGATAGCTAGCTTTTTAGTAAGAGCCTAATTTCTTAGGAACTGATTTCATAATGAAATAATTTTCACTTTAATAATAATTTTGTATGTGGATGCCTCTGCATATTAAAAATTTTTATAGTTTTGAATTTGGTAGCCATTAACAATTAAAGAGAAGCTTAAAATTGTATTCTACTTGTACAGCTCGAACTTTAGACCTCCAATTGAAATTGATTTATATAGATTCGTAGCCACTTTTTAAGAAATTAACATGATTTAAGATTGGTAGAATAATTTTCCTTTAAAAAACAAATTTTTTATTAATGAAACCAAAATAATTTTTTAAGAAAATTCGAATTTCAAGCACTTCATAATATTTCTGGAAAAATTGCTTCATTTCTTAAATTCATGTAATAGTCTTCTTTGACAAGATTTCAACAGGAAATTAAAATTAAAGATTTTTATTTAGATCGAAATTCATTTCCGGCCAAAACAAAAAATTGATTTACTTTAATCTCTCTATACCATCAAAAATTCAAAAATTATACTTTGTTTATGAAAGGTAATAAAAAATATTTTAATTTAAGTATTTAATTCCAAATAAAAAAATTTATTGAAAATTCAACATTGTTATTGGTATCCTTTTAAAAATCTTCTCATTTTCTTTTTTAATAATTCATTCAATTCAATTTAATTTTACGAAAAAAATTTCGATTTTAAAAATTGTCATTCAATAAATTCATAGTAAAAGCTATAAAACTCCTACACGTTTTGTTGAAACAAGAGGAAACTTGGAAACTCATAACAATTTTCTTGTGTTCTGTAACCTTCAAATTCAAAACGAATTTATTTTTATATATGGTTTTTTTCTTATTTACAAATATAATGAATTCTATAGTCTCTAGAGTCTAGGGGGGGATAAGAATATTAAAGAGATTTATACATATTGTTTATAACTATGTAACATGTGTACTACATCATATTGTTTAAAAGTTGAATGAAAAAACTGAACTTCTTCTACATGGTATGAAATTTTAAAATGTTTTTCCCTCAAGGATTCTTGTTTTTTTTTTTTGTTAATTCTGCTCAAATATTTGTAAATACATTTCACATATATTTTGTACACACATATTTTTATTGTACATATATAAAAAACGAATATTGTCTAATTTATCTAATATACATTTTTATACATCTGAGTATATTACGTATTTATATGAGTATGTGTACTTAGAATTTCTTAAGAATCCTTGAATATTAAAATTTACAAGCATATATATATATATATATATATATATATATATATATATATATATTTGTATAAATTTATGTAATAAGAAATTCATAAATTTATAAATGTAAAAAATGCGTAATTCTCATAAATTTCATAAATGACGAATATACAATGTTTGTATATATGTTTTTAGTATTCAATAAAACAAATCTATTTTTGGGGCTTATTCTGGTGTCAAAATATTATTTTGGTTCATGGAAGCAAAAATTTCTAGTATATTATGTGTATGTATATTTATTTAGTTTAATTATTCTGGAAAATTTTAATTTTTCATAATAAAATAAAATTTTATTTACATATTATTAATAAAAATCTTACGTTAACATTGTTTCAAATATTGAATACTGTGCTTAATTTTATTAATGTTGACGTTATAGTGTGAAAATCTGAGGCAAAGTGCAATTGAATTTTGGTAAAAATTTCAAAGAATTTAATAAAATTTGTGACAAAATCGTGTTTGCTCTCTCTATAGTATGCATATAATAATTAAGTATTATATAAGTTTAATAAATTCATAGGTCTATATTGATAATTCCAAAAGTAACCAAATAAAACTTTGATAATTGTACAATGGAAACCAGACTATTAACCATCGAGTCCGTTTCTTCGTCGAATTTCTGTTTTAATTGTGTTGAAAGAAGGCCATTTAATAGCTTTTCTAAATTTTTTAAATTCAACTTTAATTTTTTAAATTTAATTAAAATTTTCAGGAATAATTGCAAAAATGAAAAAAAATTTAATTGTGGCGACATTCCATGCATTTTATAACAATATTCATTATAGGGTCTTGAAATGTTCTTTCGTTTCACATGTGTATCTAGGGTGCTGTACCCTAGTTTTACTGACGTATTCAATTACGCATTATCAAATTTTTGTTGAAAATTTAAAACAGTGATTACTCATATTTAAACATCTTTTATTTACCTGTCTATATTGCTATAAATATGAAAAAGTAAGCAATATTTTTTATGACCGGCACTCCTTTATAAATCGCTCACCCGAATACCATGACACTTTGGGAAGTTTTTTAAAAAAATTCCAAGATGCTTTCTAAAAATTCTAGATGGTTTTTAGAAAATTTCGGGTATTGTTAAAAAGGAACAAGAAAATTTGTTGTAGCCTGTAGGAAATTTCGAGAATTCAGCCCTGCAAGGGCGCAGGTTTGAAAAAAGAAATAAAAATTTTAAATATAGTTCTTATATTGTATGTAGTAGTTTTTTATACATTTTTGTAAGTTTAAGAAGAAATTCATTAGAAGACAAATCTTTCCGGCTCCATCACCTGAGGTATTAAGAAAAATTATCTCAGTGCTTACGAGTATCTTTCGTTAAAATTCTGAATTCATCTTAATACAAGACAATTTTGGGTAAATTTACACACTGCTTCTATTTTTTTTTCCACTTCTAGAACAAGGTCAGAGTTTCATCCTCTTAACGGAGTATGATATAGTTATGTCGAAGCTTTCCATACCGATTTGTTTTTAACTAAAAACAAGAGTGAAATTCACAAAATTGTGAGTGCGGATTGTGAAAAGAGAATTCAAGTAACCATGAAAATAGTTACCCTACTAGAACTTTTTCTCTTGCTCAGATATTTCTCCTTCAGATTTAACTGTGTATTATAGTTCTGTTCATATGCCAGGATCATATTTTTCCTCGGGCAGTTTATTATTAAATGTAAATAATTTTTTCGTTTCCATTTAAAATCTAAAAT